GAAAAGGGGGGTATTATTCTCAATTTTTAGTAAGTGCTCCCTTCTTCTAAGGATGATCAACATTTTTTATTTAGAATTTACTATTATTTTTTATTTTAATTATTTTTCTTATCATATTTTTTTTATTTATATATTTTTTAAAAATAAAAAAAATTATTTATTCTTACTATAAAGATACAATTTTAAAAAATCTATTATTTTAGAACAAATAGAGTGCTAGTAATTATGTAGTTCTTCCATTAGTGATTAAAAAGTCTAATTCTTTATTTATAATGATAAATAAATTAAATATTCATCAGGAAAAAAAGAAAAGAAAAAAGCAAATGGTCCAAAAACTCCAAACACTTTGCACCAAGGGAAAACCATTACCCTTTAAAAAAAAATTCTATTATAAATTTACAAAATAGTGTGAAAAATTATATTAAACAAATTATATCATATCATTGGCAATAAAACTTTGAGATCTCCCCCAAAATTAAATTAATTACTCTCAAAAGATCTAATTTTTCTAATATTCCATACCATTTTTAAAAAACTATCATCAGGCTGCATAGCCAGATTTCTAATCAAGAAAACTCAATACCAGCAAAACGATACCGTTTACAAGATTTCTCAATTAAAAAAAAAAAGTAATGGTAACGCAAAAAAAAAAAAAAAAAAAAAAAAAAAAAAAACTGCGTCTCCCTTGTTTCCTAGCTGTTGTCTGCCGCATCCCATTTTGAAACAATTCTCTCCGCCTTTTCTCTTTTCCCATTTCCCTCCCCCCGCCCCATTCACACCATTCTTTCCCTCACTATAAAATCCCAAAACCCCCAAATTCCCTCTCTTGAAATCCACATTCCTTTCCTTTCCTTTCCTTTCCTCTAGGTAAAAGATGTAAACTCCTGAATTTTGTCTCTCTTTCTCTTTCCGCTGTAATGTCTCATTCATTGTTTTGGTGTTTTCTGCAGCAAACAATGGCGGTTAGTTTCAGAGGAAGAACGTCGGACTTTGGGGTTTCGAGGAAATGGAAGGAGAAGGGAAGGGAGAGGGAGACGAGTCCTGAGAGGACTATAGTCTGGACTGAACCTAAGACTCAGAAATCCGCTGAGAGAAAAGTTCCCGTTGTTTACTATCTCTGCAGGAATGGCCAGCTCGAGCACCCTCATTTCATGGAGGTGTCTCTCTCTTCCAACGACGGACTCTATCTCAGAGGTAAGTAAGTGTGTGTGAAAACTCGCTACCGATTTGATTGATTTCTGTGGTTCATGTGATTGTGTCCCTGTTTGGTTGCCGAGAAATTGAATTTCTGCTTAATTTCTTTATTGTTGTTGTTTTATTTTTTGTTGTTTTTGGATTACGAGAAATACCTGTTGCCAACTGGTTGATTTAGATTATCCCAGGCTGACAAAAGGTAATCCCTTCTTGCTTTCTCGGAAAGCAAATCCCGGAAAAGTTGCTTTGCTCAATATCTAGATCCTGTTTGGTTGCCGAGAAAGTTTAGAAAATAAGAATTATTGAAACTTTGAATCTCTTTTTCCTTTTTTTTTTTTTTTGAACATGCATCCTTCTTTCTGTTTAGAAATTGAATTTTTTCTTAAAGATTTTTTATTCATAGAATTTCCTGATGCCGAGTTGTCAACTAGTGATTGAGGCTTAAGTTAAGCTGCTTTCAGCTTTCTGGTTTCTCGCGAAGAAACAAAAGAAAAGTGAAACAAAAGAAAAGATAACTTTTTAAAGTTAAGGGAATATATTCAAATATGGGAACCTCCTTTTTTTTTTCTACCTTTTAAATTTTTTCTTCGCTTTTTTTTTTTTTTTTTCTCGGATCAAACTCTTTTCCTGTTTGTTTGGCTGCTGAGAAAATAGATTCCTGAAAGATACCTATGAATTTCAATTTTCTCTCATTTTTCTTGGTAACCAGAGAGAAAATTAACGTAATTTCTCATTTCAAAATAATTTCTTCTTGTTTCTCAGACGTCATTAACCGCTTAAACGTATTGAGGGGACAAGGCATGGCTAGCTTGTATTCCTGGTCCTCCAAACGGTACTCCTTCTGCGTCTCTTTCACTCATCCCTTACCGTCGGATCTAATTACCATGACCTAACGATTCGTTACTTCGTCTTTGATTCAGAAGCTACAGAAATGGCTTCGTTTGGCAGGATTTATCGGAGAACGATTTCATCTACCCTGCTCACGGCCAAGAGTACGTTCTCAAAGGATCGGAGATTCTCAATCCTTCACTAAATCCGAAACTGTTAGAAGCAGCTTCGTCGTTTAGATTAGCGAAACAAGCTGAATCTGAAAAATCGGAGGAGGATCCTGATTTTCCGGTGGTCACGAGGCGGAGAAATCAGTCATGGAGCTCCATTGATCTCCAAGAGTATAAAGTTTACAAGACTGAGGCAAACTCGGAGTCTAGCCGGAGACTCGCTGCCGATGCATCAACTCAGACAGATGATAAGCAAAGAAGAAGAAAACCAGAAATCGAGGAGTTGGAAGAAGAGAAAAGTCAAAGTCAAAGTCAAAGTCAGGAGTTGGATCAAAACCAGAGAACGGAGCTGAGCAGGGAAGAGATCTCACCTCCGCCGTCCGATTCAAGCCCGGAGACTCTAGAGTCGCTTATGAAGGCTGAAGGACGGCTACGATTGTCTGAGTTTGGGAGCAACGAGGACAGTATAAATCGGGCGGCTGGGGGTTGCTCAAGTGGGAGGATGAAAGCATCGGCGGTTCTGATGCAGTTGATCTCCTGTGGCTCCATCTCTTTCAAGGATTGCGGGCCCAGCTCGGAGAAGGATCAAGGGTTCTCCTTGATTGGGCACTATAAGGCCAGATTGCCCCGCGGAGCAGGAAACAATAGCCAAGTAGGCAGTAAAGATGTGGGAATAGAAAGGGGAATTGGGAACGTTTCGAGGGTGAAATTAGAAGATAAAGAATACTTCAGCGGGAGCTTGATTGAGACCAAGAAACAGGAGGTTCCAGCTCTGAAGAGATCATCTTCCTACAATGCAGATAGGTCAGTAATTAATTAATTCAAGCATTTTCTGTTTGTGAAATGTTATGGTGATAATCATATTATCTTATTTTTTTATATAATTTGATGTGTTATTAAAATAATTAATTTTTTTAATTTATATAAGATATGTATATTGAATGCATTTTTTCATTTAATAAAAAAATTTTAAAAAAAATTTTAAAAAAAATTTTTAGCACCCAGGTCTCACGGTCCAAAATTTTATGTCGACTTGTAAAGTGCATCTTAGTTCGAGAGTTGAGGTTTGACTCCCCCTCTCCATATTTGTAAACTTGTTAAAAAAAAAAAAAAAAGATTTTTCATACACCACCTTTGGTTTTACCAAACTCAAATTCCCAGAACCCACTTCAAAGATTGTGCAAAATTCTTCTGAGTAAATTTAATGCCTTTTAGTTCAATCAACAAGCAATTGATTTCTCTAGTAAGTGAAGAATGTCTTTCACTTGGGAGGCAAGTTAGGTGGTTTCTTTCTTTAGCTTTGTTGTGATCTTAGTCAGAGAAAATATTGATTCCTGTGAGCATTTGTGGTCGATTTGGATCTTTCATTCAAGATTCGTACGGGATTTTGGCAGTAAGTCAGTTAAAGCTGTTTTGCTTTTTTCTGCACATATATATTCAATAGGCAATGTACTGCGTCGTCTTCTCTCGTACTACTATCTGTTTTCTCAATCAAAGGGTAATAGTTTCAGAATGTAAAGCAGTCTTTCAATTGTATTAACTCTTGTTTAGGTTTTTTTCCGAGGGTTTATTCGAAAGTAGTTGGTTGAATTTATATGATGCATAACTGAGGTTGCTTTTACTAAATGAATGAGTTTATATAAAATAGACTAATATAAACTTATCCATTTAGTAAAGCAACCTTAGTTATTATACACACACGCTAGTTGCTTTTAATTTAGTATGCTTTTTCTATCTTGTTATATTATTGTTTCTCAGTTTTCACTAATTGATTGATGAGTTAATTTGGGATTTTAATCAACAGGAGTTCGCAGTTGCAGCTGGCCGAAAAGGAGATAGATGGAGTGAATGCAATGAGTGTCCCAAGGAATTCAGAAACTTTGCCAACAAAGAAAGAAGAAATCTCTAGTGAATGCAGCACGAGCACTGAAATGGGAAGCAAAAGACACGACGCTTGAACTTGAAGTATGACACGTTATATCAGTGGTCCAAAGTGAGGGGCAAATCTAAAACCACAGCTTCGAGAATTGTTAGCATAAATCTAACTAGTAAAGAGAAGATATTTAGAAACAGTAGGCAAAAAGCAGAGAAACAGTAGTAGTGCAGGGGAAGCTACGGCACTGTAGGCGGAGGCTCACACAATTAGAGAGGAATACGGTTGGGAAATCGACTCAATTGTACATCTTGAGTTAGGAGCTTTTGCATGGGGGTGAACTTTCGGTGCCTTGGTGTCTGTGAGGGCGGATGTGGGACTTCATTTCTGCCTTATTTTCGGTGATCTGGCTCAAACTCCTAATTGTCTTTATGCCTTTTCTGACTAGGTAAGCTGACTTTGAACCGTGAGACATGGGTATTTGTACGTGGGTATGGTATCTGCTTTGGCTTTAGCATCCATCATGCCCTCCGTGAGCTTTTTAAAGATTTGGGATGAGATGAAGCTTTGTCGAAATGGTAGTGCCTTTTCTTGCTTGTAACCTCGTGTATACGTTCTGTCATCTTTGCCTAATAGAGAACGTGAAATCGATGAGTTTTAATGCTTACAAGTTGCAATGCATGATGAAGGAAATTTACAGTAATTTTGATTTGAGAAGAATGGAGAGGAGAGAAGAGGGAAAAAAAAAAAAATCTTTATTGGGGGAGGAGAAAAAAAATTTTTTTAATTTTTTTTTATAAGTTTAATTAATTGTTTAAATAAAGAGAATAGAAGAAAGTGAAATAAAAAAGTATAACTCTTTTTTTCTCTCTTTTCCTCTAGTAAACATAAGGATAGAGATTTATATATCCATGATCATCTTCCCTATGCTGCATCATTTTTGTTTGGTGGAAAAAAAACAAAAAACAAAAAGCGGTAGTATTTGGTCTGGGCCTTGATAGAAGAAGGAAATAGCGGAGTGGAATTTGGATTTTGGAAGTTTCACTTGTTGCTCGACACTGGTGTCTAAATATGGGCTATTAATCTTCGGTCCATATAGACCAATGATTAACTTGGGCCTTATCAGTTATCTCTGGGCTTCAGTTGGGCAGAACTTCGTTGGTCGCAAACCCAAATTCTCTCTCTCTCAACAGAGAAAAAAAGGGATCCTTCCCTTTGGATCCATAAAATGGTGGTAAAATGCTATTGCATGGCCCACGGGTTAGATTTCGTTTTCGGCTCGAAATCCATGAGTGCTTAGTTTGAGTAGCCCATAAAAGATCCTGGATAGTTGAACCCAAAGTTTAACAGTGACCATTCTACCTTCAAGGCCCAAATGCTTTTTTCCGTGGGCTTCATGTTTGGGTTTTTCCTTTTCCCACTTCTTTAAGGGATTTTTTTTTTTTGAGGATAATGGTTCTTAAAGGGATTTTGATTTGAAGGTTGGTTTCAACACACGTAGGATTTAGACAAAAAGGGGTTTTCCGATAATAAATAGCCACCGCCAGATAAAAACAATATATAATTATATTTAATTTGATTGTTAATAATATTCAATAATTATAATTATAATAATAATTATTATTATTATTTTTTGAACAAGTTGTGAAGGGACGAACTTCGAAAGAGAAAGAATATACCTCAAGCTGACAGATTATCAGTTAACCCAAAGGATCAGGTGCAATTATAATTATTATTTGATAATAGGTAAAATAGTTGATATTTATTATTTTACAATTTAAAATCAACTTATAATATGATATTTTTAAGCATCTTAATAGTCATAGACTGATAAAACTAAACAAATTAAACATGTATATAGTTCTTTGTGTGGCCCCAACAATTATTTGTGTCGGCATAACATGGCATGTAGTGCATTATAAGTTTTATTATGAAGATCAAAATTAAATTTGTTGGCTAGAAACTATGTTATCTGCTAAATTTGATATTCTTAAAAAGTGGTTCAATTTGTTAAAATTTTAAAATTTTAAGTTAATAATCTTATATTTGAGTTTTGAGTCAAATGTAAGGAAGTTTGAAAAAAGAGAAAAGTTATTTCTTCTCATATAACTCGTTGTTAGATATACTAAAAAAAATCTTCTAAATTTAATTATAAACATTAATTTGGTATTTCTAGCCTATTTTGGTACTCTTTTACAAAATGATTTAGTTGTTAGTTTAATCTTTAATCATCAGAAAAATATAAATTCATTATTATCAATTATGTAGTATAATAATAGAATTATTTATACTATTAATTAAAAATTTATGATTCAATCCTTAATTATTACATTAAAAAAACTCATTTAATACATAAATGGCACAATTATTAGTGCTTAACAGGTGTAGCAATTAGAATCTCATAAAATTCAAAGTTTCTATAGACTTTCAACAGGGTTAAACATTAAAATAAAAATACTTAATATCCATTGTAAATGGAGAATGACAAACATTTATATGTCTTAAGAATGAAAAATATTTTAAATTCTTTTAACAAATTTATAAATAATCCTATCATTTTATAAGGAAAGGGAAAAGTTATCTTGAGAATTCAAACATTAAATTCAAGAGGCGTTCGTATTTAAAACATAAGTGATAAACCACTTAACTTGAATGTGTAGTATGGCAAATATTTTAAATTATTTAATACTAAGTATGGCAAACT